GGATCTCTAGATAATGATCATTTTTATAAAAAATTCAAAGCGAAGGCAAATTTACGATATATTATATGGGATATCAATTCGAAATAAATCGTTAAAAAAAGAAGATTCAGGCCTTCTTTTGAGGAAACAAGGGCAATAGGAAAGAAGGAAAGTAAACAATCAATCGATTCTTACGTTGGCTAATAATAGTAACGATGCAATTTTACAGAAGTCACAAGTCAGAACAACGAGCTTGCTGAGGAACTTGCTAAGAAGGGGACAGCTATTTTGCAATGCATGGACCGGCCGATGTCTTTCCACACAATGAAGGCCTTAATCAGAAGAGAATTCCAGACCTCAAGGTGCCACGAACTTAAAGCTCGAACAAAGGCGAAACAGTGGACAGTGGCACTCTCCGATATAGCCGACTGGCCAAGAATCGAAGCGGTTGCTGAGTTTAGACTACGTACCGGACACAATTGCTTGGCAAAACATCTTCACAGATTGGGAGTATACACTCAACCCACATGCCCTCTATGTAACCTATAGGAGGAAATGGAGAAGACCCATCTGACAACGACGGAAGGCCAGAGATACTGGGAAGCAAGAAGACAGCTAATGAACTGCTATTAATTAACTGACATATATGTACACCCAGCCACCATGGGGGAATCTGAAGTCATAGTTTAAGGGCTAATGATAAATATCATAAAGCCTGCCATTTGAAAAAAAATTTACAGAATAATAATTTTGTCATCAATCAGGCAATCCTACCCGAGGAAGGGACTCCAAGTATGGAGCAATGAAGTAGAGTATGAGAACGAATATTACGCAGGAAATGAGAGATGCTATCTAGGAAAAGGAAAAAACGCGGATAGAATTAGCCAATACCGCTTAAAGTTTAATAGGTTCAAACCTGGGAGGCCATTCCAACTGTGACAACGACAGCAGTTCGACCCAGGGCACCGCAAGCTGTGTGGCACTTGAAGAGCGCACCAATGGTATTGCTTATTCCCATGGCTAAAAGTTCCTGAAAAATAAGTATATGATGCGGTGTGATAATTATGATGGTAACGCAGTAGCAGTTTATGCACAGGTTAATGGATTGAATGAGTGTTCCACAGGCTAGCACACGCAAACCTTTAAACCTAAACAATAGACAAAATACGACTTGTATAGGGCCTTCGAGGTTGTTTTTCGAGAAATGGTAATGCAAAAGAGTCGCGTAATGCAGTAGATATTAGTGACAAGTGCACTGATAAATGTTCGATGTTTGCATTAAAGTGTGTAGAACATTTGGTGGTTTTAGTGAAATCACGAAAATGAGAGGGAAGGATAGATTTCTGGATGAAACATCTTTAACCTACTTTCTAATTTCTGTTTCGCCTACATGTTGGCAGGTGACGTGGATGAATACTGAAGGAATGAGTTTAGGCATTTACCACCACCACTAAACTCGCTAACTATGGAACCCAATGAAAATATTCATGCATATAAATATAGGATTATTGAGTTTGTTGACTATCTCGATATGATTCACTTTTCTATCCACGGAGTTGCCTTGTTTTACCTTTCTTTAATGGAACATAAATATAACTCTCAGATCATATAAATATAGAGACCACAGCACATTTTTAAATGTGCACAATCAGTTAATGATCAATTATTGGCCTCTTTCTATCTCAGAAGGTAGAGGTCAGATTACCTCTGTCACACCACTTTAAGGTACATTCATTGCCCTTGAAAAGGCATTAAACAGAGTGAAATGAAAGAATTAAAATAAATTATCAACTCTAAAGCACATTACGGCAGACATCCATATTCTATCTTCATGATCATACTCCATAAATAGGTGTATATCCTCCTGATCCAGCTATACAGAGGCTGAATAAAAGAGAAAAACAAAATGATTGCAGTTGATAAAGTCCTAATAGGTTCACTTAATTACCACTAGTGACCAGTTAACCTTACTCTTCATATGACTGAAAATACATTAAATTTCGATAACTCCATGAAAACCACTGTTGTTGAATGGAGCAATATTAAATGAAGTAAAAATACAGAAGAACGCGCCAACAAACGAGGAAAACGTCAAAGCCCATTTATGATTGAGGTTAAAGAATGAGGATAGGCGATGTATTTGCAACCTACTTGATTATCCAAAACATCGTAACCGAACTCGGCAGCGTAGTTCTTCACAAGACCTGCATTGATTGCAAAGGTGATGATAGCAACGACAAAAATGTCAGGAATGAGTTGGGAGAAGTGGGAGAAGGTGGGAAGAACTGGCGCTGGAAGACTAAATAAAAGAAGAATTCGAGTTTGATTTACCAATAAGCTTTGAATACCGCTGGCAACAATACACTCAAGGTACCTATGGATGGCATATTTTGAAATAGGTAATCTTAAAACTTGAACTTGAAAGCGTGAATCATGTGGCCAATCTAATGAATACAAGATCTAAATGTGGCGGATTTTTCCCGAACCTCATATGCTGTTCATGAATTTCAATCAATCACCACTCACTCCCCATCCTCTACCCCTTCTTTCTATTTGATAAATTTTGCTTTGCTATGGATAATAATTGTAAGACGTGGTAAATTAAAAAAAACAATCCCTATGTGAAATGATAGTGTTCAAAATTCATGGTCTTTTCAAGAGAAGTAACCCTACCAGAGGTTCAACGATCAATAAGGACGTCAACCAGCAAACCTTTATTTGCTTTTGGCCCTTCGCAAGAAATTTAGCAAACCAGAATGGCAAATTCAACATTGATATTCTATCCAACGTGGGACTTATCAATGAATCTTTCGATCAGATCAGAAGCACATGGTCTTTGGAGGTGAAGCGAAGAATCTTATGAACAAAGGCACCCTACCTTCTTCCCTAAATCATCTCTTCACACCTTACACCACCTGTGGAAGTTATTGAAAACACCAATAATTTTTGAGCGTTTAATATCCTCAACTCTGTAATATTGCTCACTATGAGTCACATTACATAATTATACTTTGTCAACACTTGAAAGAACGGTGTGTGTGTGTGTGTGTGTGTGTGTGCGTGTGTGTGAGATAATAGATAAACATTAAATAGTACTGGTGGTTTGTTTCAGTTAAAGAAATCTTTTTAGAAAAGCAATCCGGAATTCATCGATCCCGAAAAGTTGTAAGTAATTTCTGCCTTTTTAATAATTTACCAAATTCATAAGCTTGAAGCTGGGCCCATTGGTATTAGAGTACGTGCCTAGGGATTCGCTTGATGGAATAATGAACTGACCAGAACATAAAACAACAAGCACCATAATTAGATTCAATTGAGAGTATATAGATATAATTCTATTAGATGTTAGTTTTAACTAAGTAAAATATTTCCATGAGCAATGAAAGTCATATTTCGCAATTGATACGCCAGTGGCAAAATAGTGACCTAACTCAGGGAAAGAGTCTCTCCTCTTAGAAGGATCAATTGGTAAAAACTGGCAAACAGTGCAACAATTTTATAAAAATTGAAGACATTGAAGTAGTAGTAGACATACATAATTATTATGAAAATAGGAGTACAATTGTTCCAAGAATAGTCAGTTGCGTAGATAAAGCTTTGACAAAATGTTGGAAAGAAAAATAGAAAAACACAAAACCTAACCTAATAAGGATTAATTAAGGCGGACAAATTTAATATCAGTTTGAAACGTAACGGCGTAGCTACTTGAACTTAAAGGTATAGAAAGTAATAGTCATGTATTAACGCATTTGATTTGCCAGGCATCTAGGAAAGGTAACTGAAATTAGTCAGCACCCTTAGTCATTGGAATTCCATACCCCTGGGCAACTCCCTACTATTAATAATAATAATGGAAGATGGGCAATCAACAAACTGTTCCTGAAGTGTTGATAAGAGCTATTTTTTAGCAAGATAAAGTAGAGTAGGAGTGAACGATTACTTGTCAAATACATTATGCGTTAGCGGGGCAACGACGAATTTATTAGAAAGTGAATTAAAATCCTACTACCTCACCCCACCCCCACCCCCACCCCCGACCTTCCCGCCCATACTCCACCTATTAATCGATGAAATGTTAAAAAATAGTGCTTGTAAAACCCGAGCAACGACTATTAAAATCGGTCAAGAAGAGTGTAGAAGAGGATAAAGAAACTTACCCACTGGGGATATGACCAACAACACCGACACCCCATCGCTCGTGAAATTTTACGAAGTGTGAGATGATTGTGCTTGCAACGACCTTATAAAATTCGAGAAAACAATTATTAAATTGATATAAATTTAGCAATGACTTGCCAGGGCATTCATTGAGGGTGTCTAATTAGAGGTAACATTGTGAAGTACGCATCCTCCCCAGGGAGACTTGAATCAAAATCATTAGGGATAATCATTCTCTCTGTCCACTGGAAACGACTTTTTGTTTGCGTGATGTGTTATTGAAAACTTAAAACTTGTTATCTTATTCATAGACGTCTTCATCCTGACTAATCTGATGTTTGTTTCAATTATAGTGATGTTGGCAATGTGATAGATACATGCGTGTATTGGTATGTGTTTATGCATATGCACCTTGTTAAGCAAAAATCAGATACAGTAGGAGGGATAAAATTTGTTTCCTCACATTAACTTGGATACTGAATAGCTGTTCCACTTGCCCATAAACAATAAGAGTTGAGTTCGGGCATATTAATACTTTATTATGCAAATAAGTAGAATTTATTGGCTCGACCAAAAGAACGGCAGTGTCGCTAACAAAATTAGGGTGATTCGAATTCAAACTAACGGTAGCATATGAAATATACAAAATGACTCCGAAATTTCAATCGAAAAATTCAAGACTCAATTTGAAGTTACGTTTCAGCACAAAAGATCATATTGAAGAACCGGTATATTGGAAAGAATCTAATATGGAAAATAGATTACCTAACAAATTTTGATATTAAATATTTGAAAAAAATACGAAAATAACCCATTACTGACGTTAGCATGTCCTAGGTTAAAACGATTCACACACTTACTCATAAGTAAAAAAAACAGAAATTGTATTATATATATATATATATATATATATATATAAGATGTCAGGGGTATAAAACAGCGAACTTACAATTAAGAGTTCAACAGGAACAGGGAACTTGAATTTCTTGCGGAAGTAAGGATTAATATACAACCGGAAGATGTGAAGAATCCCAATGCAGATTATACAGATGATAACAGTTGCAACGTTGGTCTCTTTGACGTGAGCACAAAGGTTGTAAAACTTCTATGAAGGGGCAAGCAAATACATGGATTAGACTTAGTGAAGAATTTAATCAGGCAAGTGCATTCATGTCTTACAATAAAGAAGTTCCCAGGTCCATAGACCTTCGGCAAATTGATACCAAATAGTGAACTGAATTGACTTGAGAGCACGTGAAAGGCTGAGGCACACATGAATCCGCTAATCAGGGGACCAGAGAGGTAGGTAGCTAGGAAACCAACTTGAACCAAGGCCATAATAATCTGCAATGAAATAGAAAGAAGTAAGAAAGTTTGAGATATGACAAACATTGAATAACCTGTAATAATCCAACGCATAAGGCAAGAGTTAGTGATATTTTCAGTCGAAATTGATACTCTTCGTCTGTCATACCGGTAGAGTTGCTTGAATTTACTGGTATGAAATATTCATTAGTAACACGATTAATAGGCTCAGAAAAGAGGAGAGACGCCAAGGAAAATGTTCCTTCAAAACCAAATAATATAATTAGTTCGCAGATAATATGACAAGTAAATATGTGCGACAAGTCTAAAAACCAACCTAAAGAATTGTGCCTCGAAGTACAAAAGAAGAAATAAACAAGAACAGGAAAGAAAGATGTATATAAACCGTTGACAGGACGAAGACCAGCAAGTGCACCATAAGCCATACCTATCAGTAGAAGAAAATTAATTTTAAAGCTATTTTACCTTGAGGGAGATGAAAGAAAGCCATTGTAATACCCGCAATGATGTCCATGGCAAACAAATGAAGTGTATAGTAGGACATCAATGAAGGAAAGACAGGAAATAAAGCGAATCCAAACGTGCTTAGTTTAGCTTTCATTATGGTACTTTTGAGTTTGGAAAAGGTTAATGTTGTTTTTGGTTTTATTTGAAATTCATCATCAAAATCCTTTTGAGTGTAAGTGAACCGTTGAACGTTGTATTCAACACGGGTATTCTCAACAGAATTGTTGTTCATTAGATATTATTCAATAAAATCAAATAACTAATATTATTATAGTTAGCTCAACGAAAAGTGGGGCGTGATTTGTAAAAGCAGAATGCTCTGGCACATGTTAAAACACAGTGATGAAACTTTCTCAAAGTCACTTCTAAGTTTTTAAGTAAAAACATTAGATGAACAGTTACATTAAATTTTATTTTAATTGTGATAATTTTTATTTCTATATTTGTGTTATTACCCAGTTTTACTTTATCACAAATTTTGTATCATCTATACTATATAATGACTTTGAAATTAGCACTCTAAGTTAGTTCACTAGACACGTTCGTCTAAAGTTTGAAAATGAAAACAAAACCAAACATCTCGCCAACATGATTAAACATGATGCTCAAATTATTCCTATTGTTTTTAATTGCATAAGCAGAATAATCTTTGTTATTCTTATGAAATCAATTAATGAAATTTCGATCCCATAAAATTAAAACGTGATTCATATTGGTGCTGTTACACTTTAACGCTCTATATGCTCTTATCCATTTTAAATCTTATTTGATTGTTAAGGTCTATTGGGCCTTGACAAAGTAACACGAAATGGCTACCGTTGTACAAATAACTTATTTGAAATGTAAATGAATAAAATTTATAAAATCGCATACATTCATTCATTTACCCCCCCCCCCATCACAAATATTACTAATTCTTTAAATAAATATTTTTTCACATTTTTCGCAATTATAGATAAAGGTTTTCTTCAATTTTAATTTATGTGTCAACTCTGTGTCTACTAGTAGTAAATGGGAGATAAATGTTTTCAACGTATCTATTTACAAAGTAAAATATAATTACTGGAATAATGTGAGTAAAGAGTTTGTATAAATGTTTTCATCATGGTATACATTAAAGAAAAATCGCTCTTACAATTACTTCGGCGTGCAATATTTGTGACATTATAATTAATATATGAAATTGTCTTCTTTTATGTGTCCTTTTAAATTATATTTGCGGACATTATCTTTCTAATGGCAATTTTCTAAAACTATTGAATTTTGCATTCTCGATGGTAATTAAGTGAATTTTCGTCTTCCTCTTTACGGTAACTTGTTAAATGTCGTTTAACATACGAGATAACTTTTCAAGTAGTTGATACTAGTTTAAACTTTGTTTAAGCTTAGAACCATATGTCGCTATTTAAGTAGCACTAGGGTACAGCTCTTAAGTAAAAATATCTATTGCGGTCAGGTTGAAATATAAGTCGGACAGAAAGTCATTCATCTTTAAAATGTTGTTTCCAGAAAACCAAAAACTTAGTCCCTTAGGAATCTAATTAGGACAATTTAGTAACTTTACCTTTCGATTGGTAAATAAAAGAGACAGCATGGTCCTTGTAGATGTACCTGTACCTCGTGCTTCTGACAAGAAATTCGATAAGTTCGGTACATTAAATCTTTATATCTTTTATAGTTTAGCTTCCATCTTTCTAGCCATCATAATCTTATTGATTTTCGTCTCCTTTTATCGTGTCTTTCTTTGTTTCCGAGCCGATTTACAGGTACCGCCAATTTAAAACACCCCATTCAATTTCGCTCAGATTTAAGCGTATTACCCTGTTCCAATCCGATCAAAGACGCTGAATATTTCAAAAATAGTTCAGACTCGGTGGGAGAGGGATAAGGCTGTTATCTCTGCGAAAGTCCCTTCATAATGAATATTATTAGTGGTAATTTGTTGTTGATTAATACAAAACTGTCTTTGTGTTTACTTTCGCTTAAATGGTTTGAAATGTTACAATTTTGTCTTTAATGAATGAATGTTCGTATTCAGCACAAATTGAGTCGTAAAAACTAATCGAGAAAATAAAATAAGCTTAAAAGGTGAGTTGCAATTGAACTTAGCTCTTCACATATCAAACGGCATGATATCACAATCCCAACCCCATACTCCTGATTTCCAAACCAAAATCGTTTGATTTCACTTTTCTACCACCTCCGCTGATGTCATATCGAGAGAGGAGGAGAGAGTAGACTAAAGGATCTGCATTACTTTCGGCGTTTATGAAGAAGACTGACCTAGAAAAATGATCCAACGTGATTGTTTTCAATATATGTTTATGTGGTCGTGTTCAACCAATACGCCTTCCATGTCCATAAATCAAATTCCAAGCATGCAAAGATTTACATTAGTTAAGTATAACAAATTTATGCCCTTCAAACAAGCGAATATAAACCCCCTGCACATAAACAGTTTCAAATTTTGTCCGACTAACGAACTATCATGCGTTCCCTACTAATAATTTTCGCTTGCGTTCTCTCTGCGGCCGTTTTAGGTTGGTTTAATGCTAAGAATATAATGAATATTGCCTATGAGCAGTCACTTGTGTTTATCTATGATTTTAATCAATTTTTAGTTTTTTAAAGCCTTTAAATGCACTTGTCCAATTATTTTTGTCAATTTTTTCACTTAAAAGACAAAATATATTGTCGACAAATCCGAGGATTTTAATTTTTCTTGTAATAATTCTTCTTTCCAATTAGTTTTAGGAGAAGATTGCAAATTGCTAAATCAGCAGTGCGACAGAACCGTCTTCAACCGCTGTTGCGATGGTCTCTTCTGTGTTTTGACAGGACTTGGTGATGGAACCTGTCAAAAGTGTCTTCCTAGTGCCCACTTCTGCTTTAGAGATTCCGAGTGCTGCAGTGGAAACTGTGCCTGGTACTTCTTCTGCAAGTAATCAACATCCTCAGAAAATTGGCCATTAAATTAGTTCTATTTAAGATACCTTGCTTTCAACTACCTGATTAAATACCTTTTTAGCTTCGGCTCTTGTTATGTCTTATAAAAAATGACAGAGATTGGGATTGTGATATTGTCTATCATTTTTATGCATAAAAAATCGTGATGGTGCCAATTATTATTAACTACTTTAAACTACTAACTTAATTTCGGTAGGGAAGTGAATAATAATATAACGAACAGGAGGGAAATTTAGCATTTGGAAGAATTTCAAGAACCTCATGTGGTGAAATTATTTGCTTTTGCTTATATACTCCTCACATTTGACTATCACGTGGGAAATTTACGTACGCATATGCTACTGTATTTTTTACTAGCACATTTGGCGGTTTTAATACGTACTGTCACTGAAACCTATCACGCCTACAGCAGAGTATTAATTTATTAAAAAATATTTGATTAACTTAACGCATTTGGCGTCATAATCAAAGACCAAGCGTTTAACACTTGAGCATCTGAAAGTATCGAATGAAAGTGGAGCATTGGTGGCAATACTACGTTGATTGAGTAAACAAGGAAGGTAAACGGTAGTTTCAGTCCAGAGTCTTAGATTTGGACATAGCTTCGTCTAAAATTAGGGCGACTTTACTCCTAAAACGCGCTTTTCAGGCACATAGGTGAATTATGGAGCTCTATTTCTCTAAAAACAAGGGGAGATATTTAACTGAATTTTCCTAATCCCACCCTATTCAAATGTGTCTGACTACGTACACCTGAGTTATAGCAATTTTCTATAAGACAAATATTTCCATACGAATAAACTGAAATAAGTGGATCTTACCAAAGTATACAAATTTCTGTAAACTGTCTCCACAACTTGAACCGGAAAGGTCGTTATACCAGCCCTAATCTCCTCTGGGTTACTGTATAGATACCCTTGAAGAGGTACTTTTTGTAAAAAACTTTTACTTTAGTAATAAACAAATACAGTATCGATTATAAGAATAAACTTGTTATAAATATTGAAGACCATCAGAGTGCTTGCTACAAACGAAAAGCTTTGGAATTAGAAATTGGAACTTACAGGCCCGTCTTTTAGACCGGGTGCCTATGTTCTCTGTTTTGTAAACACAAACACGTTGGATTTAACTTCTAAATACTCAACGAATTACAGCAAAGGATGTAATTATGGAAAAGGAATACATAGGTCTTGTGAATTGCCTTTTCGATACTTAACTTTAATTAATCACCTGAAATATTTCATTTCTATCCTCTTATTAACCTACATGGAGAATCAAGTTACTTTCCATTTAGTTAATTAATTTCAATAGATTAAAATGACATAAGTTAACTAAGTAAGAACGTATGAAGTGTATGAGTAAATTGAATTTCGATGTGACTCTGGGTGCCCCAGTATAACAAAGATGAGCTGATATACACACGCTTTTCAACAATGAACCTGTCCTTTTGCACACTTAATTGACACTAAGATCGAGAATTTGATCTTTTACTAAAAAGTAAGTGAGGAAACACACTTATTGTCTCCAAATTAAATAAAAATTCAATTTACTAGGTCAAGTTTATGTTTTGTCAACAATAAAATTACGAGATAAAAAACCACACTTTTCTTTAACAGAAAATGGATGTTTCTTCAATATGACAATATCAGGTCCCACGAAGTGTGAATAAATTTCAAAAACACGTCCTCCATATTCGAAAGACCTACCACCACTCTGTTGTCGCCTTTCCAGGCGCATTTAGTTGAACGATTTCGAAATGAGACTGTAGTGGAAAACCCCATGAACCTTTACTTTAATTTTTTATAAGATAGCAGCATTTATGAGATTATTTAGTAAATTTGGAAGTTTTGTTAATTCAATGAAAATAGTTGTCTTTTAATCGAGTTATATTAAGAACGATAATTTTGCTTAATTTTATTAAACTTCACTATCCTGATAAGGAATAGGCTAAAAGACATATAGTTTGACTCACCTGATAAGTAAAAATGAATACAATTTTTTCTTTCTCGAAAACTGAGGTCTATTTTCTCTCTTGTTGGTCATTTTTGCTCAGAAAGTTTCATTTTTATTCAATTTTAAAATTACAATGTTTTACACAGGGGGTGGGGTGTGCACCTGGGCAATGCATACTCATATGGCAAAAAGTCTATAAATCGGTAGTTGAATTCTGACTTCAAACTACCATGACCCCACTGTATGCCATATTCGACCACCTCCACAGTACCCCTCTTACCTTTTCTCTGTATTGGTGTCTATCCGTCTCCT